GAAAGAAGAGGAGATTAGGAGAAGGAAGTCCACGTGAACACACAGAGAGAAGACTGCCATCAATGAGACAAGGAGAGAGGCCTCAGAAGAAACCAACTCTGCTGACACCTTGATCTTGGGCTTCCAGCCTCCAGAACCATGAGGACGTCAGCTTCTGTTGTTTTAGCCACTGTGTGTGGTGCATTGTTGTGGCAGCCCCAGCAAATCAATACACACGTCTATTATGTTGTTGTCTTTAGTTCGCACTAACACCGAGACTTTTTTTAACCTTAGGGAACTCTTCTATTTTGGGAGAAAGGACATGAGAACTGCAGGTGTAATACTGGGGTTGTGGCCCCAGCTTTGCCGTGATCCAGCAGTCTTGAGCGTCAGTGCAGTATCCTCTCTGAGTCTTGGTTCTCTCACCTTAAGAAGGGTCTTATACAGAGCAATGCTGCTCAAATGTTTGTCATTGTTCCCAAGATTTCCTCCAGTGAGATGTGGTTGAGCCACCAGTAGCCCAAGCCTCCTATCCCTTGGCCTGTGGCTTCTCCTCTCAGCACGTCCCCGAGGTACGTGGGATGCAACTCGTCGCTGCCTGAGAGTCACTTCAAACCATGAGGCTCCGAGTAAGCCATGTAGACCTGCCATCTGCTCAGGTTTGGGGAAAGGGGGAAAGCGCAGAAGGATTGCAAAGCCTGTGGGACTGGAGACATCAATTATTGCTCCTGGACAAATCAGTGATGGGTCCCGGCCTGGGACTCTGGCCATGCCCGGGCAGCCAGCCCTGCCCCACAAGCGACTCCTTCTGCCTCCAGCAGGAGGATACAATCTGGCACAGGTGACACCATCCTCTGTGTGTGACTGTGAGCCAGTCAGTCAGAAATACACCTGTGTGTGTGCCCCCACAGTTTTGGCATGTTCCACTGGGATGCCGTTCCCAGCAGAATGTCAAAACCCAGGTGCTACTTCCCCTAAAGGTCTTGCTCAGGAATGGATCCCAGGGTTACCTCAAAATCTCTTCCCAAAGTTCTGCTCCCAGAAGCCCCTTCTCTCCCTCAGACCCACTGCAGGCTGCCTGCTTCTTGGCTGGCCAAGGATGCGTCGATCAGGTCACAGCCAAGCGAGGAGACAAGACTGCCGTGATCTTCAAGGCTTTCTCCCGCCCATTAAGTGAGATGTAAACTGAAGGGGGAATAGACCCACATTCTGTGCCTTTTCTTTATCATCCACAAAGTCTGGCAGTGTGCTGTGTGGGGCATCCATGCTCAGTAAATGTTTGTGAGCCGAGTTTCATCTCTTGTAAGTCTGGGTATGCATGTGAAACAGGTTCCTCGTTTTCCAGACTGATTGCCAAAACTGGTTAAATAAATAAAACACACAAAGTAATTTATGAGTGTGAACAACTCATAATGATTCAGAAGCAAATCTGGCTTCGTGTATAAAAAGCATGGCAGAGTCCCTGGACACTTGAGTTCTGCCTCAAAGAGTAGAATCCGATAACCCAGGACAACTGCCACCACCCCCTGACGGCCGTCTCTGCCTCTAGTCCATCCTTCGTATGGTCTCTGGGTGATCATGTGAAAACACACATTGGATCACAGCATGCTTTCTTCTTCACACCCGCATTTCCCCAAGAAAAAAGTCAAATTTCTTAATGAGGCCTTGCCACTTTCCACAATGTTGAGTCAGTCCACATTCCCATCCTCATCCGCACACCCTGCAGGCTTCCACCACCAACCCAGGCACATTTCTCCAAATACGCTTTGCCCTTGACCTCTGGGCAATGGTTCACCAACTTCTCTCAGCCTGGAGCGCAGTTACCTGCATTCTCTGCCTGTCAACATTATACTCACACTCAAGGCACAGCCCAGATCCTACTTCCCATCTATAAGCCCTGTCAGTCTCATCAAGAGCTTGTGCCTCCGTCTCCCCGTGTCTGCATTATCCCATTCACCCTGGCATCAGCCATGTTTGGGTGGTGGAGGAGATGAAGATTCACCTGTGATGCAGATAAAAATGCTTTTTGGATAGACGAACTGGTTCTACACTGGACTCTTTCAATACAATATCTCCGATGCGTGTTTTTGTACCAGAGTTTTAACCCTGATATGTTGGGTACTTCATCTTATAGGAGTCTCAGCGACAGAGTCAAATTCACTCAAAGTACAAAAGACTAATGAATAAATCCAAATATGAACCCCTGTGCAGGTAATTGAGAATATCCCCATGCAAGTGCTATAGTACTCAAAACTCTACTTGCCATTCCCCAACCCCTGGTCCGTCCTGGAATCCTGGTACCTTAGAATTAGAATGATTTCCACACATGGTGTTCGAGTAGCCTGTATATACTAAGAAGACCAATAGGATGACTGAGAGAGGATGTCGCTCCTGGACTCCAGGGGCTCTTCCCCAAAAGGGCGGTTTCCATGGGGAATCAAAGGTTGGGGGCTCCTATCACTTGGACAGTGTGAAACAGATCTGACACTCATCTCCCCTCACCCTGTGTTTCCATGCCGTGGCCCTTCTCCTGGTACCTTTTTCTATAGTGTATAAACGGCACTGAAATTATCATCCATTAATAGGTCTTGTTGGCCTGGAAACATGCGGCTACCTACAATGCATTGAGTATTGATTTACTCACTCTCAGAATTGTAGGTGGCCTTGGTAGGGTTGCCTTTGGCATTAGATTTATGCTTAATAGATGATGTCACTCAACCTTGAATAAGAGTACTGTGAAGAAAGGGTTCGTGTTCTATTATCTGTGTTCCTTTCAATAGTTAGCTCAGTGCCTGGCATAAAGCATGTGGCAAATTAACTTCTGAATGAATAGATGGTATAATGGATGGACATGTCAGATGGGATGTTTGGACGGGTGCGTGGATAAATGAATAGATGGATGAGGGAATAAATGTTACTGGAATTCTGATTCTACCCTTGTTTTCAGAGAAGATTCAGTAGGAAAACAAACAAACCAAAAGTTTTTCCATGAAGCCATAATGGATGTTGTCGAATTTCCCACAGAGATCAAGTGGAAGGTTTAGCAAAACCCAGTTAATGCTTTTCATTGCCACAAACCACCTAAAATTACCATGCAATTGCAAAATACTAGCTATCTAGCTTGGCCAGAAAACTGTGTTTCTTATTGATCCAACCAGTTTTTAATCGAGATCTATTACCAACACTGCAGCGATGACCAGTGTTCGAGCAGCCACACAAGAAAGCACACAGCCCTAAGATTATATAGAGCAAAACTGAGACTACCTCTGCAAAACTGAGCAGGACTTTCAGTCTCTTTCATGATCTGAAATTTAAATCCAGAAAACCAGCACTGGAATTCCAACTCAGTAGCTTAGCCATGTGACCTCAGGCCCAGCTTTACCCTTTCGACATCAGTTTCCTCATCTGTCAAATGTGGATAATATCTCTGCCCTGCAAAGTTGATGGGGTTGGTTGGAGTAGGGCACCGTGCATGAAAGCCCATTGTAGATATGGGATACAGTATTGAAGAAACGACCATTTGTGGTGGGCATGTTTTGTCTGCCCAGCACGGCCCTCCCCTGGGAAGAGCCGAGTGACCACATGTTCACAGGAGAGCGGCATCTTCTTAGAGATGCAGCCTCCCACCCCACCTTCTGCGGATATCGGGATAAACACATGACACAAAATGGGCCAATCTGTGCCTTTTCTCAGGTTTTTAAAACAGACGAGAGAGAGACTCCTTCCCCCTCTGAAAGTGACATTGAACAATGTGAGGCCTGGGAGGAGCAGCAGGCATGATCTAGGCAAAACCGCAAAGGCCAGTGAAAGCAGATGGAGCCCATTCATCAGGAGCAGCCATGGTGGGCGGGAAGAAAACCCAGTCTGGTGCTGCAGCGCCCGAGTCCCGAGGCCAGGCCTCTCCGCTTCCCTCCCCTGGACAGGTGAGGCAGCTTGGGTCCCTGTGCAAGTGAGGTCAGGCTGAGTTCTCTCCACCTGCAAGCAAAACACCCTCAGGGAAACGAGGTCATTGGTAATTCATCACTTATCCCCTCCTCGTCAGTTTCAGGAAGACAAGGACGTTTGTAAATTACTTCGGTGCTGCGTCCCCTGTGACTGCTCGCAGCAGATAGGCAACAAACATTTGTTGATACATCGTTATATTATTAGGTGTGTAATAAGCACTGGTATATAAAAAGCTCTAATTATTAGCAAGCAGAACTAAGTGGCTTTTAGAGACCAACAATAGCCTTCTCCGACTCTTCTTGTTTCCACGCAATGCACATGCATTTTCATAATTTGATCTAGTGTCATTTAAAAGCAGATAATTCAGAGGAGCCTTAGCAAGGAGGAGGACGTGTCCACAGTTTTAAACTCAATCACTGCACAGCTGAAGTCGCGATTACCGACTACAGCAGTAGGAACACTGGGAGTTGGAACCAGAAGGCCCAGGACAGAAACCCAGCTTTGTATTTGGCAGGCTAAACTCTCAAGTCCTCAGTCCTTTCATATGTACAGTGGGCTCGATATTGATATAGTGGGTTTTGCGAGGATTCACTTGGGTAACAAATATTTTTTAAAGATTTTATTTATTTATTTTTAGAAAGGGGAAGGGAGGGAGAAAGAGAGAGAGAAACATCAGTGTGTGATTGCCTCTCATGTGGCCTGCAACCCAGGCATGTGCCCTGACTGGGAATTGAACCTGCAATGCTTTGGTTCGCAGCCCACACTCAATCCACTGAGCTATACCAGCCAGGGCTGTCAATTGGGTAACAAATACTAAAGTGCTGAGAGCACAGCAGGAGCTCAAGATATAAACTCTGTTATTGATATACGTGAGACGTGTATCTGTACAAACACATCATATATGTATGCAGTGTGTAGCAGTAGCTTACTCAACTGCTGATGGGCTGAAATGTTTTCCCAGTGAGTTCTCAGATTAGGTCCATACTTGCATTCACCCCTCCCCCACTCCCATCATTCCCCACCAAAAGTGGACTTTGGAAAACTCCCTTCAGCCACCTGAAACAGGCTTTCCTCGGCGACATGCTTCCCAGAAAGCAGCCTCTAGACTCGTGCTCTGAAAAATCTCCCCTGGGAGCTGCTCCCTGAGGTGTCCCCAGCAGAGGTGTCACTCTGAAGTGCCTTGTCATCCCCCGAAGCTGTTGTCTTACCCATGGCCAGTCCTCGCAATAGCCCCCGGCTGGATAAGCCCAGCAGCTTCCCCAAAGCCTCTTTCCCACAAGTGCCGGCAAAATCCTCTGTGGAATTATCAGGGATCCCACCAGCTTTGAAGGGCTGGCAGTTATCTTTATGGTTTCTGCGGGGCTGAGCCTGCATTTAAGAAAGGTCGTGACCTGCTCTTGCAGTCTCCTGGAGGAGAGAAGAAGGAAAGGAAATGGCCAGGAATTACAGAAAGACAGATTTCAAATCGGTAAGTGAAGCAACTTCCCAGCCACGCTGAGTGGATTGCCAGTTTCTTGTACGGAGTGGTCCCCTGGGGTCAAGCGACCCTCAGCCTCGGGGTTACGGGACCTAATCATGTTCTGACAAGCCGCAGCCCTGCTTTGGGTCAAACACGCTCCACGCGATCTGGGCCTCTGGCCCTCTGGAATTTGCCCCTGCATATCGTTCAGGTTCGCTCAGCCCACGGGAGCTGAAATCGGGGCTAGTGCTTTATTTTGTTTCCCACAATGGGCTCTCCTGAAACCTGGGCACGGGAAAATAATTCTATACCTGGCATGAACACTTATTAATATTTTTTCAGTCACATATATCTGTACAGTATGCGCATATTTATTCATGTTTCTATATACGATTTTATTCTATATGAAACCTGACTGGAATCGGTTTAGTTGGCATGTGAAGTAAATGGATGTGACCATTAGCTAAGCCCACGCAGTACCGATAGTTACCAGTATGACTATAGGTCATAAAATAATAGTGTGACATATATTTGTAGCTGTATGTATAGTGTATCCTGTCACTATAAACCCCCACACCTTTGTGCATAAACACAAACCAATTACGTCTGATTAGAATCCGAAAAACTGCATCTGGTTTAAACTTTAAACTTGATCAAATCAGTGTCTTTATTACAAATTATATAACAGACTAATGTGAATTTAATATTTTTAAGGAACAATACAGTTTGTGGTGAATTTCATGGAGACAAAATAGTTCCTAGCTTCTTAAAGTGAGGTTTGCATTCTTTACAAACCCTGGGAACCAAATGCCATATGAATTTCTAAGACTTGCTGTTCACTCAAATAAAATAAGTAATAATAATAGAAGCTACTATTCAGCCTCTGCTGTAGGCCGGGTACTGTGCTAGGATACTACCAATACCATATCTTTAAAACTTGCCGTAATTATTCCCATTTAGATGCCAGATTTCCCATTTCACAGATTATAAAAGAGGTTCACAGACGTTCAAAGAGGAGTATAGCTAGTCCAACTAGCAGTCAAGGTTTGGTCTGAGGACCATCTGACACATCCCACCACCTACCCAGTCTTAGACCGGACAAAACGCCGTCTGGGCTCCCCTGTTGCCTGCCGCTCTCTGGCCGGTGTCCCTGAGGGTGTCTGTCAGCCCACAGGAGAACCGCAGTGACCCGGCGGAGTCTCCAGCATTTCCACGGACTGAACCAGTGAGGCTCTCGATTTGCTGAGAGCTCAAGGCAAATGCACACATTCAGCTCAAGAAACTATTGACTTTAGTCGTTGCGTGAATAATCCTCTTATTTTCAGGAAAGCCTAAGGATGAGGTGGGAAGAAGATAAGAGCAATAATCAAATCTTCTTATGGTAATCATACATTTTGTTTAGGAAAATGCTCTTTAAATTAAACAACAACAACAACAAAAGATCCACCAGAACACGCTTTCTAAGCGGTCAGATTTTGCTGGGAGCCCAAGCTCTATTTTTAAATATGCTTTCCACCCTCCACAAGAGAGGAAAACAAGCCCTCTTTGTTGTTAGTGGTGTGCACATCTGGATACAAGAGGCTGCTTCCCCAAATTCTACTTGCTCCTCCAGCAGCAACTCAAATCTCATCCCTTAACCCCATCCATTCACCAATCCCCTCCACCATGCGCAGAAGCCAGTGGAGGGTGGGAATGGTGCCCATCCATCTAGGGAGCTCCAAGCCACCAGCTCCCAGCTAGCCCAGCATGCCTTGCTCCCTCCTTCCACCCTCAGCAAGTCCTCTCTGGAGACCTCCTGTCTCCTGCAGGCCAGGAGCGAGAGAAATGAAGATGATTAGATCATCCGCTGCAAGGAACTCGCACCCTAGAGAGGAAAACAGACACATAGGGGAATGAATGGGCATGATACAGTGTGATAAGGGTTGTCAGGCGCTGTGTGCAGAGCAGAGCATGGACTTCCTAGAGGCACCTGCCCGTTCTATTTAGGGATACAATGACTGTAAGAAGAAGCATCCAATCCCTTGGGAGCTAGGCCTATCGGCCGAGGGAAAATGGAATGAGCCAAGCAAATTCAGATGGCCCCCTACGGGACTCTGCACATGACAAAGACTGGGTCTGAAGGTCCGGATACGGAGTAGCCACAGCAACTTGGGCTAGCAGATAGAAAGCAAGATGCCTCATTTACCCTGCACGACCCACCTCGAATGCAGCTTCTTCCAGAAGTCCGTTTTTCAAAGAGGTGACCTCCCTTCCTGGGAACTCCATCGCCTTGCCTTTACATGTCTCGTCCATGACACACACCACCAGCTCTAACTTTCTTGTGGCGCTCCCTTTGGGCACAGAATTTCCAGCCAAGGACTGGACCAGAAAGTGCAATTCGGTTCACTGACTCAGCGAGCCTTACTCCGCACACACCCTGAACACTCAGTGTGTGAAATGTTGGTACTCCGTGACAGGGCAAGGGGCTCACCAGCTGCCAGCACCCACCAACACCCTCTGCGCACTCAGAGTCTGGTCCCCGCAAGCTGGCTGGGTACCACCACCGAGCGCCCCGCCCCTACCCTCTGCATTTGCTTTTGGCAGAAGCTGAGGCTCAGTAGAGGGAGATTCTTGCTCAAAGCCACAAAGAAAGTCAGCCCCAGGGTCTGAGCTGAGGCCCATACAGCAGGGCTCCGAGTCCTGCACCCTCTCTGGTCTAGTGTCCTCGCCCACCCTATCATGGGAGGGGAGTCCCCCTTCCAATCTGGGGCCTGCTGCTCTGGGGCCCCGACTACCCCCAGGGCCCGGAGCGATCCCACTCCCACACGGCCTGCCTTCCCCAGCCGAGCCTGGCGTGGCAGGCCTGCACCTTCTCTCTTCCGGGTCTGGGCCTTGCCGGAAGTACTTCCAGCACGAGCTGCCTTCGGGCCCTCCGGGGCTTTGCTACCTGGGCGTGTGCAAGTGTGCACACATGGCGTGTCTGTTCTCGGGGGTCCCAAGGAGTCAGGCATATGTTTGTGTGCGCCTGTCTGTTCATGCCTTTTTGCACACTCAGGTGTCGGTGTATTTTCTGTCTTTGTAACAGAGGTGAAGGGGCGTGTGTGTAGGCATCCCTGCATTTGTGTGTTCGGTGCACGTAGCTGTCTCCAAGCTATGTGTGTATCTTTGTGGTGTATCCGTGGTATGCATATGCCTCCCTGTGGTATATGAACGTGTGATATTCTCTAACCTGTGTGAGTGTGTACATGTCTCTTTGGTGTGTGTATACATATAAATGATGCATGCATGTATATATGATGTATAAATATAGATGTGTGGATGTCTGTGAGGTATAGGTAGGTGTTTCTGTGTTGTCTGTGTATCTCTATGCTGTGTACGGTATGGTGTGTGGTACATATGATATTGGTGTGTGGTTTGTGTAAGATGTATGTACATATCTCCATGGTGTGTATGTGTGTCTATGGGGTGTGGGAGTATGTGCATGTGTATGGCGTGTGTGCATATATATCTCTATGATGTGTCTGTGTGTGTCTCTATGTTGTGGGTAGCATGTGCATGTATGGCATGTGCACACATATCTCCATAGTATGTCTGTGTGTCTATGGGGTGTGTTGTGTGGTGTGGGTGTACACATATCTCTGTGGTGTGCCTGTGTGTGTCTCTGTGGGGCATGGTGAGTGTGTGTATGCACACATGGTGTGTGTATGGCATGTGTGTGTGCACCTGTGCGGACAACTGCTGCCCTGGCTTTTCTATGAGCAGGGGGCACTCGGCTGACACAGCAAAACACTGCAGCCTCAGGAGGAAGTCCAGGGATGCTTCTCACATGCCCAGGGTGAGAAAACAGGGCGACTACCCTTGCATTTTCCAGGCAGCACCAGTTTCTCAGCCCTGGTTCCCCAGGAGCTCAGAGGGGGCCCTTTGGGGGAGCAGGACCAGGGGTAGCCTAGCGCTCCCACAGAAAGGGCCCTTGTTGCCTCTCTGTGCCATTCATACCGGAGAGGAGGGTGTTCTGCGGAGTCTGAAAACCCGAGGTTTGTCCTGGAAGGTAGACGAGTGCAAGGTGTTAAGGAAGAGCAGAGGAGGGAGGTGGGTATTCTAGGCAGAGCACAAGTGCTGAGCGTGTGTGTGCACATGTGTGTGTACACGCAGTTACCCACAGGGTCCACGCATGTCCAATTCTTTCTCGTCCCACTTCTAGCATCTGGAGCAGAGCAAGCATTCACCTTGCTCAGGGTGGGAGATAGGCAGCCCCTTACCTGATCTCCCCCGGGCACCTCCAGCTGGAAAATGACCCCCGGGTCTTCTGCCGGCTGTGGGGACTCCATTGAACCACACTGGCACGCCGAGACTCACAGAACTGGCAGAAACCAAACCATTTCTCCAGGCCACCAGGCCTTTGTTCCAGGCCCCTTAGAAATGTTTTCATCCATGGGTTTGCCATGAACAAAGTCCTGTTCACATGGTCTAAACCTGACAATAAACCCAACCGTTCGGATTGCAGTTTAAACTCACTGGCCACACCAGGGAGGAGAAAAGGAAGAATTCCTGTGTGTTGCAGAAGACTTCTCCGAATAATCCCTTGAGCTTCCCCACGGGCTCTAGCCCCCTAATGGATGCTTTGATGACAGCAGATAAAGGGCAAAGGTACTTTTATTCTCTTAGAAATTGCTCCAAATAAACAACCTTGATGTTTAAAGCAATAGAAATCCCCGGAAGATTGATGGCTTGGAAAATGCTGCTGAGTGAATGAATAACTTCCCCCTTTATTTCCAAGAGCTAATATTTGTCCACATTTGCTGCCTTTTAGAAAAAAAAAGTGCAACCTTTTTTTGCGCTGAGTGTTGGTCAGAGACAAACAGTCACCCTCCAGGTATTCCTTGAACTTTAAACCGAGCTCCATTTGTGAGTGGCTGAGGCTGCTTCTCTGCATTCACCCATTTATCAGGTTCAGACGGGGGCCTGCCCTCGGAACGCCACCCCTGGGTGTGGACTCCAGGGTGGGGCCAAGCATTCAAATTCCTTTAGAA